AGGTAAGCAAACCTCCCAGCGTTTGGTGTTTCTTTGGGGCCGTATGCTGAATGTTGGGGAGGGGATGGGGTCCCCGACGGTCGACGGACTACTTCAACTCGGTCGGTACGGTAGGAGAGTAATGACGCAAGTGGTGCAGCTGGTCCAGCAGCTCCGCCAAAAGGGCTGGTTTGCTTACCCCAGGACTAAGCCTTGGAGAGAGGACGGACCTGCGCTCTCGCAGGTCCGTCCTCTCTTTAAGGCTTAGTCCTGAGGTAAGCATCAAATTGAGGCGGTTTTAAGGACCGAGTTGAAGTAGTCCGTCGACCGTCGGGGACCCCATCCCCTCCCCAACATTCAGCATACGGCCCCAGCAGAAACGCCAAAAGGGCTGGTTTGCTTACTTCCCTCTATCTTCTGATTTAAAGTGTCATGCGTGGCGCATTCCGAAGGCGTTGGATCAACGTCAGATTTTCATGTTTTTTGTTCTCTTCTGAAACATCATATGGATTTTAATTATCAACCTTTGGGCTTTTTATATCGTCTCGTTCTTCAGTATTCACTTAAGAGACGTGAATACTATAATATACCTCTCATAAGACGCATCGAATTGGTTAGCCCTGCGCGCAAAACCAGAACCTTAATCCTGAACCCTTAGCGCCTGTTGCCGGCGCTTACATCCCACTGCAACACTTTCAACCCTTTGCACTGACGAGTTAATAAAGAAAAAAACATACCGTCATGAGCGAAATAATTAATACGGTCGTTTCGCTCCTTCTTCGGAACCTTATTATTTCGTCAATCCCCGGAGCTCATCAGAAAACCATAGCCTTGAATATCACGTTTTTTTCTGAACCCGTTTCTTCATATACAATTGCAACGACAAAAACGATTCAGGACATCATTTGATCGCTACCATCTTCACTATACATATTTATGAGCCCGAAGAATTCGATGAATGCTGCTTCTGGACATTCCTGTCTCGGACGCCATTTGCCGCAGTGACATCTCAGGGTTTCTGCGAAATCGGTCCAGAACAGCAGATGCCGTGTTGCCACATGTTGTCCGCCTCGGACGTCCAGGACGTGGCTTGTCGCTAATGGATCCAGTCTCTTTTAATCTCGCTATGAGCCTACTAACACAGCTGCGGGTGATCGGCCGACGACCTGGATGCAGTTTGTTGAACTCCTCGGCGACCTCACGATGATTTCGATCGCCAGCGAGGAGTACGATTTCAACACGTTCATCCATAGTCAACGGCACCACAGATCTAAAGTAGAATTGATCAAGATTTTGCAAATTATGACTCCAATTTGATGTGGATCGTATATAAAAGTAGAGATGCAATGTGGTCCAGTAGTGAAGAATAAACTAGGAGAAATTCTTTTTTTTCAATCCAGCGGAATGGAACCCTCATCCTGCCCTTTAATTTTGAACGGCAGAAGAGCTCAAGGCTAGAAAAGTGGCCATAGGACGAGAGTAATCCGACAGAAATGCGATCAATTAGGACCAGAAGGCAACAGCTGTTTGGGAATGAAAACTTAAAGCGAAAGGTGGTGATAACAGTATTATATCTAGCACGCTACTATTACCACTCTCGTCATTGAGATATTTCCTGGCTAAGAAGAACTATAAGGGCAGTGCTTAAGTGCCTTACCATCGCCTTGACAGGGCTCTACCCTTCCCAATACGAACACCGGGTCCATAGTGATCACTGCCTCTAATCAAGTCGAAAATGTTACGAACGGGAAGGAGCCATCGCTCACGTGATGAGCTCGTCTCGTCAAACTGGTTACAAGTGATCGAAAATCGGATGGTAAAGCAGTATGAGAAAATCCTCTGGGCAATGAAACATTCGAAACTTTACATTTCAGCGCACTTTTAGAGGGGAGGTTCATACCCAATGCAGTTCGAACTACCAAACGAAACCAACCCTCGATATCGATCTCTCAAGCTTAAAGGTGAAGCATTTCTTACCGGATTCCTGCGTAAAACACTACTGAAGAAGTACTCCACCACTGCTTCATGAAAAACCTAACTCGATAGGGCGCTTCTGAGCACCAAACTTTGTATAAAATACCACTGACATTTTCGAGAATTTTGAAGCGGGAATGAGCAGAGACTTGCCTTCTGTGGCTTTCCTTGCTATCTCCAAGGGCGAAAAGATTGTCATCGGAATAAATTCCAGTTGGAAACCGCGACATTATCAAGTCCTTGAGCCAACCGACCTGAATAATAGACTTCTTTGCAAGGCATCCATTCAATGATTCAGCTACAAAGAGAACTTGAATGGCAATACATAAAAAAGTCCAAGTATCAGTTGAAAGGAGCCGGCAGTTCTGTGTAAGCCCCACACTCTGCCAACTCAATGGTAGGCAGCCTCTAAGTTATCGAGGGATGGTAGCAATTCTATCATATTCCTACACGACTCACTACGCATACTGCATAGGACAACTCAAAATCGATGATTCCAACAATAATGATTGAGGACAAATTTTCTAAACCACTCGAAATCTACTGTCATGCAAATATTGTTATGACCCAAAAAACGTTCACTACCCCTTAGGCTGCGCCATGACTTTTTACCGATGCTCTGCGTAACGAGGAAATGCCGATTCCCAAAATCTCCAAAAGATAATTCGTAAATTAGCAAAAAAAGCTGAATTTTCCCATACAAAATCCTGTCCTTATTTCCTCTTCTTTTCGGAATCCATTGCCTGGTCTCCACCAGGACCTTGGACAACCCCACCCTACACCTCTCCTCAAGCGTGGAGGAATCCCAGGTGTTGGTTCGTGTCCAGGTCTAGGTTAATAATTCGAACTACTCGTAGGAATCGCTTATGGTCAGATCAATTGCAAATTATCGAACCTACGCACACTGTCGGCCTCACACGGTGGGTAAGTCAGTACTTTTGACACTGTCCACACCTATTAATCGGAGAGCCATGATCCTAAAGGCAATACATTTAGTATTCTTGTCTTGTAAAGAGTATCATACATTTGTCGCAAATTCTAACTATTCTACCTTGTCAACGAAGTTATTGAAATGGTCCAGCAAATTGAAACTTTCGCTATCGACGCTGCTCAGATCAACTGCAACAAAGAAATAGGATTCAAACAATTTACAGTCGAACGCAATAATATTCATGCCAAAATTGCTGTTGTTCCGAAAGAGTGTGCAATAGTGTTCCCTATTATGTAAGAGTGTTAAAGTTGCCAGACAGACAAGAAGAGAAAAGAAGCCATGTAAGTGGGTTAAATTGAATCCTAATTTGTACAGTATAACAACACTCGCGTATTTCAATAGAAATAGGGGAGAGGGAGAGTTCATCAGAGGCCTGTACGTTCTGGGTGGCGTCACAGAGATCGCACGGCGGTGGATAATGATCAGCGTTGCCCCCCGATGTGCTTGCTATAGCTAATGAAACTCGCCCACTTCCAACCTATCCCGCTTCAATCTCCATACTGAACCTCCGGCATAATGCCGAGGATAGTTTACAGGTGTAGAATAGATCAATGGCCCAGACATTCGAGGAAGATATTCAAAGCCTAAAATGTGCCAAGCCTCGAGAGTTCTCTTTCGCAACACCGGAAGATTTTTCCCTCTGTCCCTCACGAAAGGCCAAGGGAAATCATTCGAAAGTCGACATTTCTGAAGGAATTCCAAGGAAAATAAAGCGAAAACCCAAATGATTTCCATAACCTTCCGTCAGACTTGATAAGAAGATGCTTCTCGTAGTGTGAAGGACAACTCTCACCCTTGAGCCACCCTGGCCTCTAAAAAGAGTCATCTGGTCTTGCCGTGGGGCCAATGTTGATTTTATATGTCCTTACAAACCTTGTTTACACAAAAGACCCTGATTTTCCGATCTATTTTGTAACTTCCGTACTATTCTACTATACACCCCAAAATCTCAAAATTTATTTTTCGTCGAAACTTTGCCTATAGGGGTAATTCGGTGCCCTGATTACGAAAATGACATTCATTCAGCGGTGGCGCCATCTGGCGCCAGTTGGCGTCACCTTGTCACGACACATGTTTTCACCAAATTCGGTGTAAACTTCTGTATAGGGGTTATTTGGGTCCTGATTACGAATATGACTTACTAGTACTTCGTTTTTGGCATTCGTTGCTCAACGCATATTTCCCGTTCTCCTAGGCTCTTTCATCTATACACGGTGCCTGAGGCTAATCGTATGCTCAGGGTGTAGGGGAGCTCCAGGTGGGTGAACCAGGTACTGTGTGGCAAAAGTTGAAGCATGTGAGATCACATGGTGAGTAAGCCACTCAATGTGATCCGCCTTCTGACTACGATCTAAGCAGTGTGAGGGTGGGGATAAGTAGAAAATAGGCGCCAAATGGCGCCAGCGCCAAGAATGAATGTCATATTCGTAATCAGGACACCAAATAACCCCTATACAGAAGTTTACACCAAATTTGGTGAAAACAAGTGTCGTGACAAGGTGACGCCAACTGGCGCCAGATGGCGCCACCGCAAAAATGGATGTCATTTCCTCAGGGCACCGAATTACCCCTATGAACAAAGTTTCGACGAAAAAAATTGAGATTTTGGGGATGTGATAGTCGAATAGTGCCTATAGTACTATCCTACGTTCCCAACACTTCACTTCGGTCGCTCGGAATGTTTACGGCACACTCACGAAACCGTGCCCCATTTTGTCCGGATAGCAAGAAGGCACTTTAAAGATGAAAAACGCTTGTTAGGGTTTTGACGTAAACATTCATAGAGTCAGCAATATTGAAATCGAATAAAAATAGAAAGACTGAAAATTCCACTTACATGGCTCATTGGATGAAATCGAAGGTTCTGCTTCCATAAGTTCCT